AATCTCGTTGTCTTACATGTGACTTCTCAACTTAATGTGCTTTAAACTCAGTAATAATATATGGTGACAGACAAGTAGCTCCTCCGCACCGCCTAAAAATTTGTTTTCTCACTCTTTAAACCTTCCCTGGACTTCCAAAAACATTTCAACCAAAATAAGCCAAATCGGTTTAGCCGTTCTCGAGTTTTAGCTAGACTAACCAATGGATATTCATTTTTATATATGGATAGATTAAAAAAAACAATCATTATTAAGAAGTAAAATTCCATCTAAAATCCGGGCATATCCCGAATCACCAATTATTAAATTCCTTACCTCATTAAGGCCAGCCGCGCACTGGTATCGCTTCTAGTGGTTCGGGTTATCCATGGGCGGCGTGGATTGCTTACCATCAGGTGATCGGTCCGCTCTTTTGCCGGCTTATCCCATAAAAAAATATCCTTAAACAGTTGTAAGAGTAAGAGGTTGTAAGAGATGAAAAAGAGGAATAGGGTGATTAAATTAAGAATTTTGGACATTTGAATATAATGATTTGACATGATAGCTGAAAATACTGGAAACCTGTTATTGTACAGCTTTTTAGCCACAAAAAGCAAATCTAATCTAAGCGTTTGCTACTGGTTGAAAATATTTTCCTAAAAGATATAACTGGCAGTACATTCCCATAATTTTCTAAGCAGATGGTTTCGTAGCAAACATTCAATTCTTCACAGATTTTACTGTCATTTTCTTACATTAACATAAATTTTATACAATAGACAATTAATTGTTACTATGTTTCTTGCCAAGAAACTACGATTTCATTAAGTGTTTCGTGTCTGCTATCTGAATTAGTGCAGCAGTTTTCGAGTTTTGCGACCACTAACGCGCCAAACAATATTTTTTATCTTTATAAAGTTTAGCTGTGTTAATAGCTAAGTTTCCTTTAATGTTTATTGCTACGCACATTAACGAAGTCACTAGTAAAATGTTCCGGTACGTTTGTATGATAAAAATCTTCATACACATTCAATATTGTATTGGTAATACATTAAACATCACTATTCGATTAGCTATCTTCTGTACCAAGATAATTAGGCACATTTTTAGCTAGTCGTATGATGTTTGTTTTGACTAAATCTAATGATTAAGTGTTAGTGTCAAAGTTCATAATGTTCCAGTTTTTTTCTTCTCAAACGGTCGTACAAGCTTGTCTGGTTCGAAGGTGATGACGATTCTAGGTATACATAATTCTGTGGTTCTTCAATGATGTGTGATAAAAAACTTTTTGGTTTGTTTCTTTTTTAGGAGCTACGTTCTTTTTATGTAGCTTGTCTATGATCTGAGACAATAAAATTGTCAATAATTGACACAAGTAAAAAGTATGGAATAGGGAACATTATTTCCATACTGTTAATTTTCTGCGTTTTGCTTTCCTTCCATCAAAGTGTGATCCAGACCACTAAATGGTTTGTTCATGTGATGTCAGCATGTGAGTTTAGAAATATTGATGATTAATAGTTCAAAATTTTACATCATAATGTCTTCCGTAGAAAACACGCAGGTTTTAGCCAAGAGCTCCCATTTCTTTTGCGCCTTAACTCTATCGCTGTTGCTACTGTAATAGAACGGTTGCGTGTCTGTGACGTGCACATGCCGCGTCCACGCCGGCCTCAGTGGCAGTACTGTGTCGACCGTGCGCATGATCACACGCATCGCGCCCGCGAACCTCGCGACGTTCGATCACGATTGTGTTACATAAAAATTCGCATCGTTTTAACCTTTTAATACTAAACAAGTGCCAAAAAATTATCAAATTATTCCTAAATCTTTACACATTCCAAGCGTTACGTTATATATTTCGAGGAAAATTATTCGGTAAAGTATTAAAAAGTAATTTTACATAGAAAACAACCTGTGCATTTTTTCACAACGCTAGTATTCGCAAGCATTCATGCTTGCATGTCGATTTCACTTTCTGTGCCGGCGTCGAAGTTGTTATTTGGAATTGTTAAATGACACCCCTTCAGTCGGCTAGTCGGTATTGTAAACGATATTGTTACCGAGCTACTTATCCAATGCTTGCTGGAAATGGTTATTTGAGAACTGAATGATAATAGTAACCAGACCGCATGATACTCATACATTAGTTTCGACCTGATTGCTTCGTTTTACCTCATTCATAAAGATGCATATAATTCGAGCGGCTATATCGTCCATACGCTTTGTTAAGTGAAGTATGAAATGACCAATGTTCCTTGTGGTACTCGTGTATTGCCCCTTTCTTTGGTGTAGGGAACAGGGCTGTCAATTGATTGTATTAAGTGGGTAATATAACAAGCCAATTATCTCTGCTGTTAAGTAGAGTTTCTCTCTCCTAACTCATTTATATTAATGGAAATTATCAGACTTATGTATGTCCTGAAATTTGGAATTTTTTTTTGGAAATCCCATGGTATCTGAATTCTATTCATTATCAATTACTGCAACCACTTCCATAAAATTTTCGCTTTCCTAATCAACAATTATTTATGCATTCATTACATGACGGTAGCGTCGGTGCGTTGTGTTTAATTTTAACGAAACTACGTGCCTACTAAATTACATAAATAATAAAACTTCAAGTTTTACTGCAAATAAAGCTAGATAATGTGCAGAAATAAAATGAAGGTTTTGTTAATACAAACACGCTAGTAGCAAGTGATGATTGTGTGTCAACTGTTTATAATTCTGTGCAAGGTGTGAGTGACTTATAAGGCATTGCTGCTTATGTGAAAACGAATAAACAAAACGACCACTGGATTGCTAAAAGACTACTTTTTTGATTGAAGCAGATGTGATGTAGTAGATTCACGTGCAATTTTCTATCTGTAAGGAGCCTTTAAAATTTACGTCATAAAGATTTACTACCTTTTCGTTTCTTTTGGATTTCTGGCATCATTTGGACATGCATTGCTTTAGACAATGTTTTAATCAAATTCAAAGATTTAATCTTCATTTGCCCTTGCATCAACATCTTCATTCTAGTCAGGTATTTGGTTGCGAGAATCTTTTTCCTCTGGCGATGCGTGGCAAACAATAAGTAGGAATCTCAAGGCACCACGTGCATTCTTTCTTTGATTGTCAGATAGCTTATCTTTTACAAAATGTTTTTTGCCTTTGTTATTAATGTGATACCTGTATTGATAACGAATAGTCTTATGTCGACCTTGTTTTATCATGAATCCCAAAACAATGTTGATCGAACTCTTCTGGTGATCCAAATGTAAAGATTATTTTAGTATTATTCTCCTAAGTCTCTTAATTTGTTTTATTGCTGATGAATATCTTGAAAGGAAATTCAATTTGACCCACAAAACATGATTGCATCAATTCAGTAGCCGATCCATACAAATCGTAATTTGCGTACAATGACTGAACTGATTCATTCTGTTGTGGTAACATTGAGTGGGCAGTTAATGTTATGCTTTCGTCTGCTAGTTTCATTTACACCTTAAACAGACAAAAGGAAATTTGCACCTTATCAGAATCAAAGTAACGCTAGAAATTGATTGTAACTAAAGTCCTTATAATCGTCTAATGAGGAAACAATATGTGAACCTAGATTAAAGTCCAACATAATGTGCAATACCTTCAAAAGTTCAATGTATTCTCATAATCATAATCTACAAAAAGTTTTCATCATACGATTTATTCACGACGTGTTTTCTGTAATGAACTACAGAAAATACATACATGTAAACAGAGCCGTTTAAATCAGTAGCACCCTAATTATTGTGCACTGCCTTATAAGTTGTCATGCCCTAAAATACTTCGCGTTACTAATCCAAGTTTAGCTGCAAATCGAATTCAGTACCAACTACCATGTCAACATTCTAGTACGAATTTCTCATCTTAATAAAATAAATATGCCTAAATTATACAGAACCACAAATTAGGCAATAAATGAAATAGATAAGCATTCCTGAATTATGGAGAACTATAAATTAGGGAATAAATAAATATTCCTAAATTATAGAGAACTACAAATGATCCAATAAATAAATATTGGTAAATTGTAGAGAACTACAAATTAGGCAATAAATATTTTCAGGTCTACTTTCTGATTTACATTATGTTCTTGAACTCCTTCAACTTGTTGTTTAATTATTTATTGACTATTTGACACTTGATTAAACTTTATCACGCATCACATAATGAGCATTCGATGAACATTATCTACCACGCCCGAATCCACATGTTGTGTTGAGAACAATTTGCTAGATTTACTATTTCATCAACTAATTAATATCGGGAGAAGACACGCCTCCTCACATGTTTTTTTGCAATGATATAACATTTTTACCATCAGTACCTAATTAATGTTTAATCAGTAATACTTATTTTATCATCCAAATTGGCATGTTGATATAATAATGCCAATGATTGTACATTATTTATGTGCACGTAAGTGTTGTATCAATTTAATGTGTTCGATCCCCACCTCTCATTGGTCCCCCTCATTGTCCTTTAAGTACTCGCTCCCTACTGGTTGCCAGTGCGAATTTTGCCATCCATATCAATCGTGATCTCCTTCACGCGCTTACTTTGCTCGTTCACAGTTCAGCAGTTTATCACTAAGCAATTAGGTCGTTATTAATTACTGTTTTCATATCTGTATCGCATGGAGAACTATTGCCTCCGATATCTATCACGTTAGTGCAAACGCTTCGGGCAATTCAACGGGCATAGGTCACCGGAGTGCACATTGTGACATCTGCACAACGACACTGTCAATACGACTCCGACTTGCGAGGAGGTAAGACGTCTTACCTCCACTGGCAAAGAAATTGAAATCGACAATTTGTATTTTTTTTAGAATCTCGACGAAGATTAAAGTTGCGTAAACTTGCGAGACTCTAGTGAAAATTTATATAAATTGGCTAATAAAATCAGTGAAGATTACGTCGAAAATAGTGGAAGTCAGTGCGTTGTGGAACTGGACGGTCGGTGATGTAGTTTCGGTGCACAACAGCAGCGAGATGGATACGATGATAAGCGTGTGGACGATGGTGGAGCACGTGCGGGTGGCCAGCGGCGCCGCCGAGCTCGCCATCTTCACCGCCATACTCTACTGGTTCTTCACCTCCAGGTCTGTACACTGCACCCTACGTCCACATTCAACCATCGCAAATACCTCAGAACAATTATATTATTGTTTCATTATTTCATAACAGTAAAGCGATACCGGTAGCTGTAGTTATTCTGTACCTACTCAATAATGTTATTGGATGACAAATTGCAATTCTTTTTGAATTTGTACGCATTGTGAGGTATCTAGTCGATACTTTGGAGTTAGTATCAATATTTGTAGATACCTTTTTATTAATACGTATAGAACTGTAGAATTATTTTTAACAATAATGGAATAGCTTAGGTAGTAAGAATAAATAATAGTTTTCGTTTATTAATAATAATAATATTGAGTCATTGTATAATAAATCTAGTTAGTTGAATAATATTATGAATTGTTAGTAAAAATTAGAAACTATGACCTAATTCGTTAGTACCTTGAACAGTAGCGAAAACTAATTTGTGTTAATTAGTACATAATATATTATATTTGAAACGCGTTTGCCAGACGCGGTTGGGTTAGAAATTATATCGTACGATGGGTAAATATTTTCAAAATCCCAGAAATCTCCATTTGAACTGATGTACTCTTTGTGGTAATTTGATATCATACAAATTCTTGAAATATCTGAGAAAAGTATTCGAAAACAAAGTTTCTAAGAACATAACATTTATAAAAGTATCAATCTAACACAAGTTTTTCTATAAACTGGTAATAATTGTGATTTAATTGAAAGTGAGTCAACTCTCTCTTGTCCCCACGATCGTTCATACTGATTACTGAGTTTACTGCTACACAGTTTATTGAATCTAGATACTGTGAACAGTGGAAAATTGTGTCTATTCTATTAGACTGCTTTCTTATTTTATTAGCACTAATTGCCTACCTCTGTGATAGGGTCAAAGAAACGGAGCTAATAGCGTGTTTTTTTTTATTTTGTATAATTCCTTATAACCTTAAAGAAAATTGGACCTTTTACAACAAAATGTTCTCATTTTAAAGGTAACTAAATTACCTTTTATACGATACGTTACCAATTACTGAAATAATATCATAACCATTCTAGGTTTCTTTTAGGGGTTATATCGTAAACTCTATCATTTCTATAACAATGTTAACAAAAAAATTGCCTAAAATGATAAAAGTATTTAGCGAGTTCAACAATAATACACGTTTAATGTTAATGACCTCAAATGCTCAAACTTTATTTATAAACATAAAAAGAATTTTGTGTAAACAAAGAGACGGACGATGAAGTAAAATACAGCGCAATTCTAAAAAGACAGATTAAAATACAACAACAAATTCAGTAGATAATCAGCAATGTTATAGATATCTAATATTATATTACTTGCTTCTGCTCGCGAATCGTACGCGCAATCCTGTTTTTACATAGGTTACCTTTATCCCCAAAAGGGATCCCCATCTTATTTTTTATATTTTTATATGATGGGCCGACGTTTGACCACTATCTCGCCTGGTGGTGCACGATGATGCGGTCTACGATGGAGCACGTCGTCCCATGAGCAACATATTCACTCGGGCCTTGAATGGGGCCTACCGTATTATTGCTCGCCAGGTGGTGCTAGTGAACACATCTCGTTCTTCGTCCAATAGGGAATTAGCTAGTGTCACGCCATTGGACGTTCAATATTTTATAGCTGCTGATTGGACAAAAAAAATCTTCCTACATTTGGTGAGCAAAAATACGGTAGCCCCTATTCCATGCGAACGAAGACTATTAACTCGTCGAGTACCGGTTTTATAGACACAATTAAAGAACAATAGGTCGCGGTCACCGGTGACCGCTTTGTGTTTGACAGTTTAATAATATAATAAAACTTATATGAACTGGTATATTATAGTACTGTAATTATAAGGATTTGTTTGTCATGCTAGATACAGATTTTTTGTAATATGAAAATCGCTTGTCTTAATCGGATATTTTTACAATCAATCATGATGCAAGATATTTATGATTTTCTTACAGATAATTATGTTGCAATATTTTTTATTTTATTGTCCTTGTAGTGGACCAAATCCTATTCTATTTTTACCCGACTGCCAAAGAAGGAGGGTAATGTTTTTCGAGTGTATGTAAGTATGTATGTATGTCTTTTCCTTTGTGACCACCTGTAGCCTAAACGGCTTGATGGATTTTGATGTATGAGGTATCGTTAGATTTGTCTTGATTACGGGAGTGTCATAGGATACATTTTATCCTAAAAGTCCCACGGGATAAAGACATAATAATATTTTTTCTAAATTTCCCTTTAAAAAAATATGTATGCGGTATCATTAGATTCATTTCAATCACGGGAGTAATTAATATAGGATACGTTTTTTCTCAAAATTCCCACGGGAACATGTTAATTCTGCGTCAACGCAAAGCAACTCATGCGTTAGCAAGCAAAAAGATAGGGCGTGGCCTGGCATGCGGCGCGCGGCGCGGTGCGGAGGGGGATATGCTCGAGTATACAGCCCGATTGCGGGCACACGCATGAGGGCACACGTCGTTGACGATAGTCTTCTACATCTACAACATTTTCGTTAAATAAAAACAGCTAAAAAGTTATAAATAAAAAAAATTATTATTAAAAAAACAAAATACCCGACTGCACACTAAAAAAAGAGTAAAACAAGCCCACAATAATATTGATCAATCAAATGCTAAAAACTAATTATGTAATACCGTTTAAACAATACCTATATTAAAATACACTACAATATGTGTTCGTAATCGATAGTTAAATAAACAGAAACTTATTTTGAATACAAATTTACTGAATATAATTTATAAATGTTGATGGAAAGCATCGCAGGCGGGGGACCACCTTGACCGCCACCAACGAAAATTCTGCTAAATGGTGCACAACCGAAATGACTATAAATAAGCCTCTGTTGGTCCCCGCCTGCGATGCTTTCCATCAACATTTATAAATTATATTCAGTAAATTTGTATTCAAAATAAGTTTCTGTTTATTTAACTATCGATTACGAACACATATTGTAGTGTATTTTAATATAGGTATTGTTTAAACGGTATTACATAATTAGTTTTTAGCATTTGATTGATCAATATTATTGTGGGGCTTGTTTTACTCTTTTTTTAGTGTGCAGTCGGGTATTTTGTTTGTGTTTAAGATATAGATAATTTCCTAACACTACATCTAGGAACACAATAATCAGGAATTATGTCTCTAAATTAAGAGGAACCTAAGTCGTCGATGCGTTAGGGTAAATGATATTATGTCGTTGGAAACAGATGAATGACGGATAAACAAACCAGAAACGTTGAAAAAGAGAGAAACCAATACAAAAATCAGTTGTGGCTGAGGCTACAATGATGATGATGATTGTGACCAGATAACTTCGTCACCTTTTGAATTTATTTGATGATTGATAAATCATAGCTTAGATCATCATCAATCAAAGCTTAGATTTACTTTTACAGAAAGAACTTTATTAATCAAACTTTAGAGTTTATATAATTTAACAAATAGAAATTCCCAAGTTTTTTTGTAAAATTAAATATATTACAAGTATTTACATTATATATGGCATTTTGCGGGTAATAAAATCGTCAATGTTATTAGAAATTCCCTATTTATGTCTACCTGTCTGTCAGTTTTGAGGGAGTAATGGGATAATGAATGTTAATCCATTCGTAAAGACTTATTAATTACATGTGTTAAGCTATCTACTAGATTATGTGCGATAACAATACCTGCAATATTTACATGTGTTTGTTTATTTGATAATTTTGTTCTGTTATCGTTGTTCTGCAGTGGCATGTCTATCTACTTACTTCCAGAAATTACATTTCGGAGCAAAGAAACGGAACGTTTTTGTTTTTGATTTCTTCATGATTATTTTCAAGTACGAGTATTTTATTAATTGGTATCGTATGTCGTATAAAACGCGATTTAGTCACGTTTTTATAATAACTATCGTGAGACATACCAAATTAACTAAAAATCGCAGGTTACTTACGTGAAAGTACTGAGAAAAGCTCTACTAGTTTCGAACCACAGAGGGGTTTTTCCTCATGAGCAGCGTGCGCGGTCGCGGTGATATCTAGGCTCTTAGTACTTTAGATTCCATCGTCTTTCTTAGTACTTTCACGTGAGTATCTGCAATTTTTAGTTAATTTTGTGAGTTACCTTTACATTAAGAGTCTTCTGTTGTAAAAGGAATAACTTTGTTTATAGTTATAGACTGTTCGATAATCTATATTATATAAAAATTAATCCCTTTTTCCCTTGGTTACGGTATCACGCGTTAACCGCTGGACCGATTGCACTAATTCTTTTATTGTTGTATTTGTTATTATTAGGAGAAGGTTCCTGTGACTTATAAAATCCTGAAAATTCTACGGGAATGGGAGAAAACGGGATTGCGCGTACGAAGTCGCGGGCAGAAGCTAGTATGAAAATAAAAACGATAGTGGCTCCGTTTTTTTGATCTCAAGTGTAAGATTTAATAATTTGTGCATATTAGTAAATGTTTTTATGTTAGGTTTCCTACATTGTGTAATGTCAATCCTAACTTTATCCTATTTTTAGAAATGACTAAATGACAACTCTTGATGTAGGTAAATATTTCAATAACAACACTGTAGTTCACAGTCATACGTATTTTTGGTTTTTGCGCGACGAATTTTCATAAGTCATGAATAAAAATTGAACTAGCAGCGCGGTATAATAATTAATTTAGTATGTCTCACTAAAGGTATAATGTAAACAAGGAATTGAACTGTAATTAGTTGCTCTGAAACACTTCCATGTTAAAAATAATATCTAAAATACCTTACTTACTTCATTAAGTTAATTAGGTTGTTCAATTTACTTATGTATATAACCTTAACGAACTACTATACAGTTACTCAACTAGTTTCGAACTACACCGAGGATTCATAACCATGCGCAGCATGTTTACATGTTTATTTTTATTATTATACACTTTATAGTTTTTACTGCCCTAGGCCATTTACATTTCAAAATTAAGGAACTTAATAAATGTCTCGTTTTCTGGTTATTTTACTTTGGTTTTGATGTGCTACGAGTATTAAAATCAACAAAAAATATCATAGTTGTCAATCAATCTGTCTGTGTTTGGGATGCTACCTTTGTTTTCATATTAGATCCATGTTGTGTTTAATTTTGTAATTGAGTTTGTATGTGAACGGATATCCTTATTAAGTATCTGTAAAATGTTAGCTTAAAAATATAAAATTAACTTTGTTTAGATCCCTTTTTATTTGGCTGTAGATCCGTTTGTAAATCAAATTATGCATTAAAACCTTAACTTTTTTTTTAAGAGGTTTTAATCGTCTTTTGTAGGTACTGCATGTTTTACTTGGTCTTTAGTTTCTAAATATATCGATATGAACGGCCTATAAGTGGCCACTGCTGAACAAGGGCGTCTTCTCACACGGAGAAGGTTTGAGCATTAATCACCAGCTCACCACAGTTGCTCAATGCGTGTTGGCAATTCTAAACTTATAATTAGAAATTATAAGCCCAGATTTCCTCACAATGCTTTCCTGCTTGTCAGTGGTGTCTAAATAATCTTAGAAAGTGCATATAATTCGGAGGAAGTCATATTGGTATTTGCCGTTGGTAGGTTTCGAACTCACGCCGCGCCCTTATGCATTAGAAGCGTACGTCTTAAATCTCCGGGCCATCACGACTTCTCTATGCTCTAATACTACTGTTTATAATTTAAACATTAGTACTTACCTACTCACGAACATTATCAGATTTTCAAAGTACAAGTACAAAATTACGATAGTGCGTTATGAACTTCCACGTCAATAGGTACGTACTACAAACGGCTAATAAAAAAAAAAGATTTCAAATAAACATCAACTGCATACCGAATAATATTACCTACAATATTATCAAAAGAACTGTTATCACTCAAATCACGTGCGATTTTTATTGCAAATCTGAAATTAATGATAAACGTATAGGATATTAGGATATTATGCCCTCTGATCGATCATCGCATATTATTATTAGTGAAATCATTTTTTTAATACGAAAAATCGATAATCTATCGCGTGGTTACGTCAAATGCCGATAACGGTTATTGACTTAGGATTGGAGTACATAATTTGTGTACTTGTGTTCAATTTTGCTTCTTTAGATAAAGGCCCTGTATGATGACAATGATGATGATGAAATATCTTCTTCTTCTTGTACGAATAAGATACGATTGCTCTTCTCTTACTACTCGGTATCATAAGATAAAGACTGCACGGTTGGCGCGGTGGTTGCCAACTGACTGCCGCGCAACGTGTCGTGTGTCCGATTCCCGCATGAAGCAACTCTTTGTGTGATCCACAGATTGTTGTTCCGGGTCTGGGTGTCATGTGTATGTGAACTTGTATGTTTGTAAACGCACCGACACAGGAGAAAATACTAGTGTGGGGCAAAGTTTAAAAAAATAAAACTAAGACTACACAGCCGGACCGCATTTCCCCTGCAATCCAACCACAAATTGCAGTTCGCAAACAGTATGAATGTAGTTGACACTTCTGCAATTGTACTGCAAACCAAACGTGCATACTGTCATGACCAAACGGTTCCAAACCAAACAAACGAGCAGTCCGATTATTCTTTTGCAATCGTGTCAACTGCGTTTAACACGTTAAACGCCATGGGGGTCACCGGTGACCGGCGTTAGCGGAGGATTTATCTTCAACAGTTTTTTATTGGCAGTCAAAGTCTTAAACTGCATCCAAACTGCAATTTGCTGTTGAATTGCAGTTGAAATGCGATCCGTCTGTCTATAGCCTTACCACTTACACAGCACCATGTCACCTGAACTGCAATCTTCGACCCTATGCTAAGGGGAATTATGGCATCCCCCTTCTTTTGAGGACGGCTTCCACTTTCTATCATCATCATTATCATGTCGGACACAAGACGTCTAGTGTGGGACATACAGTTTCCCTTTATTACTAATGTCTTCAAGACTCAAAGTTAATATATTGCTTATGGACAGGCGTGTTCCATCGTAGGCCGCATCATCGCTTACCTCTAGGCGAGATTGTGAACTAGAATCAATAAAAATGGCCTCCTGATATTGTCCACATCTAAAGTTCAAATTAAACTTTCGAAATCTTATAATATACTGACTATTTTTTTGTTATTATTTCTCAAAAACTACTGGTCTTATTTGAAAAAATCTTTTTGTGTTGGTTAATCAATTTATCGAGAAAGACTGCAGGCTATAAAACATCACACTGTGATCATTGAGGGTCGAGCAGAACGAGACCGCGCGGAAATAGTAATGTATATATTTTTCACACTAATAATCCGATTGTTTTATTTGTCCACAGTCGTGTAGCCGACATGTTAGAGGTGGTCGGCGAAAGGGTGGGGGGATGGTGCGGTCGCGACACAAGCAGCTCGCTCAGGCAAGCCGTGCGCGCGCGCAAACGACAACAAGAGTACTCCAAACTGGATAGTACTGCTAACGTAAGTTTTCTTTTCTACTTATTCAAAAAGAGATGGAAAAAACTTTGTTCAGGTGTCAAGAGACATAATATGTTGTGTCTTCGATGTATCTATCTTTTTCTTATATCAATTCTCTTCAGTTTGTGAGCGAATCAGCTCCTATTAGGTCTATTATTATTTACTCCTCATCTCATTGTTCACATGTCTATTATGCGTACAAAATACTGCAGGGGATAACTACCCCGTAAAAAGTAGAGCTAATAAGAAAGAAAGAAAGAAAGAAAAATCATTTATTCGACAGTAGGCACGCACACAGATACAAAAAAATACAAAATTAAAAAAGAAAAGAACAAATAAATACACTTATGAGGTCCATAAGCTTCTAAGGTCCAATTTTTCAATCAACAGATAATTCTTAACTGTAGAATATAAATGGCCATATGACAGTTTTTAGTATGGAAGAATTGTCAAACATTCGAAGTTGTTCCTCTGATAAAATTTATCTGGCGTCCGTAAAATCGGTCCTAATTCGAGAAAATGATTAAGGAATTTCAAAATATCCAGTAATTTGTTTAGGTACACTTCAATCTCGTAATCACTATCATCATTGCAATTTTAAAATAAGTATCGTTAGTCATTTGTCCTAGCTGACGATATTTCTGCAATTTCTCAAATACTTAAATTTCGATCAGCTTCGTAATGCAATGCCTTGACTCCATCTTCAATCCCACTGTGTGTGGACATCATCAGATCATAAACGGTTTGTCGTTTAGTGCAGTACCTACTAGTGTTGCGTTACCCGCTAGTTATAACTGTTTGAAGTTAAGTAACACTAACAACATAATTTTGAGAAAACAACACCTTTGTCACGAAACGATTTAATAGACGGATTTTAAGTTTTTCTGTTGTAATCTTGTGATATCGAGTTATATTAAATGATTAATAATGTGGGTGTGTGTGTGCACATACATCTTGGAAAGCGTCGCTGTTATAATATGACTATTAGATAAGTCCGCTGGATTTTAACTACCTAGTAGTAATTCCTGAAAGGACGTAAGTAATGGTTCTGAAATACAAAAAAATATATACATACATTAGTTAAAAAAGGTATATATACGGTCGAATTGAGAAACTCCTCTTTTTTTTTGAAGTCGGTTAAAAAAGAGACGGTCCTCTGAGTTTGTTTCGGCATTTCTTCTCAGAGTAATCAGCTAGGTCAGTTAGCAAATGTCGGCCTCATCGTTCGCTTGATAAATTGACGTGTAAAAGTGCTGCCTTGTAGCCTATTTGCAGAAATAAATTCACTTGTTTTAAAATCATTACTTATACAATGTATATTGTATACTAGAAGTATTGACACGTGGTCTCCAAATCGTATTTTTAGCTCCACAATATTAGCAGGAAAACATTTCATTTGTGACGTACTAACCGTTCATGTTTTCTTAAAAATAGATGTGATCTGCACACAATTTTAGGTGATAATCTGATTATGACTAGACTAATTCGCGAATTACTTACTCATACGAGTATTTGTGAATATTTCCACGGTAATTTTTAAACACCACACGTTTTCATATTGCCAAAACAAACGTTAATGATTCATGTACAATGTACATGTTTATGTAATGCGATATGCATATGCAATCATGTGACTTAACGAGGTCATTAGTTTTATTTTTTAAAGCCGTATCATTTCAAGAGGTGACCAAAGTAATGTTGAGGAATGATAATAAAATGATAGAAAACGAGATTTTTATTAGGATAGGATTTCTCTAGTTGCTAACCATCAGATGATCTGCCTGCTCGTTTGCCTACTATTCCATTAAAACAATAGAAGGGCGGTTGATTTTTTTTAAAGGGGGAAAATCATCGAATGACTTCTCCCGCCTGGGTGAGGCGGGAGGGAGTGTCAGACTCTTACTGACTAAAAACCACCCCGTTCCTTCTCCTGCACTTCGAGCCGGAGCCCCGGTAACCCGTTAGGTTTTCCGCGACTCCGAATCGGCATCGGCCCTATAAGGGCGGTCGATAGACTTCCAAGTAGCTTGGGATGCCTTCAAGAATTTCACTATTACACCATTTTCATCAGTTGTGTTATTGCTGTAGATTTTAAGTCGTTACTTGCATAACAATTCCCCTTAAAATTGCAATATTAATTGAATATATTATCTTTTTGCAGTGCCGCAAGTCATCGCTGTTCAGGATAAAGGAAGGTCCCGTGATCCCGGCCCCAGAACCGCAACTCAGACCACCTTCAGGACTAGCGTGTGGGAGATGTGCACCGGTTTCTAGGGTAAGTTCACACATTTAATATGTTCTGGAGGTAGTTAGAATGAATTTTGAACTTTCTACTGCTTCGTTATAAGTCGACATTGGCTTGTGCGAATTGACAAAGAATTTGAAGGTTCATGGATATTGCACAAAGCTGTGTATATTATTACTTATTTGTTTGTAAACCAGCAAATATTTAGCGTCGAAATCAGTTTTCTACTAATTTGTACCTATAGTGTACACATATAGTGACCAAATTAGCGATATATTAAAGGGCCAAATTAAAAGTACCCTTAACCGACGAGCATGCATGAAAAGATTGATGACTGTTGAAGAAACGAAAGAGATATGTAGGAATCGTAGTAATTGGCGTTCCCTAGTCTCTGCCTATCCCCATGGGAGACAGGCGTGAAGTTGTGTATGTATGTATGTAAATTGTTTTACACACAGCTTACCTACACAGCATTTACTACTGCTAATCGCCATGTTTCTGATGAAAATCCAATAAACCTTAGATAGAAACCTAATCATAAAAATAATGAACACAACAAAGATATATCTAAATCGATGCAGCAGTTCGGAAGTTATGCAAAAATTTACATAGATGACTCATTTTTTTATTGTATACCTATGTTGCTGGTAAATAGTTAAAAACATTTACTTTATTTACATATAATGACACTGTTAGTATGTTATATTGTTGATTATTGCATGTTTATCGCTGAAAGATAGTATCAGTTACTGAAAAACTGTAATTTACTTACTATTGTTCAAGTTACTGTAATAGGCGTGTGTATTATTGTGTTCGCATGAAACATCATTATAAAATAATATTAATGCTATTTTTATATATGAGTAGGTGTTTATGAGTCCCGTGTAATAGAGGGTAAGCCTATTGCCACATACCGGGCACAATTCCAGACTCCGTGCTACTACTGATAATTTTTAAAATATATACTATACTTTGCCCGACCTGGGAATCCAACCTGAGACCCCTTTCGCGGCAGTCCACTTGTGACCACACAAGCCAAAAATAATTTAGTATAATACATCAATTTTTTTACCTGGTCTTAATTAAATGACATAAGTTAAACAACCCAAAATCCGAATCAAATTAAACGCGAGGTACTTTGACCTGACCTAAATAAAATAATAAATAACCATGAATAGTCTTTTGTTTTGAACTGCCACTGAATTTGGTCCTTCGTATCGCACATTTTAATGTTTTAAAACATAACATAACATAACATCACGCCTTTTATCCTCGAAGGGGTAGGCAGAGGTGCACATTATACCACTGTACAATGTAACACCCACTTTTCACTATTTATGAGTCCCATGTAATAAGGGGTGAGCCTATTGCCATATACCGGGCACAGTTCTAGAGTCCGTGCTACTACTGAGATTTTTTTTAAAACCCAGTAATACTTTGCCCGACCCGGGAATCGAACCCAAGACCCCTTACCCGGCAGTCGCGATTGCGACCACTCAGCCAACGAGGCATGTTTTAAAATTAGTTATTAAAACTTGTAAGTACCATTCTTAGGGACGTCATCAAAGTCACGATAGTTTTATGTTTCTAAACGTGATTCTTTACTTACATTATAAAGAATAAAAAAAATATGTCTCAAAGAAGTTGGCGCTATAGTGCTAACTAAGACATAGATAATAAATATAAAGAGTTAGCCATGCGTTTTTTTTTTCGAGGAGGGAAATCAACCAATTACTTATCCCGTCTTGAGTAAGATGAAAGAGAATGTCAAAGCTGGAGCGCCGGTAACCCGTTAAGTTGTTCGCGACTTAGGATTTTTTTAAGGGGGGAAAATCATCGAGTGACTGCTCCCGCCTGGGTGAGGCGGGAGGGAGTGACAGACTCTTACTGGCTAAAAACTACCCCGTTCCTTCTCCTGCACGTCGAGCCGGAGCCCTTTAGATTCTCCGTGATTCGCGGCTTAGGATAACATCGAATATTGAAAATAGTGCTGCTTCTATGCTCTACTTAAGAACTGATAACACAAATAATAATCATGAGTAATAGTACAAAATAACAATAGTACTCCTAAAACAAAGACGTTGTTTAGTAGAACTACGCAGTCCAAAGTATATGTGTTATCATTATCACATAGTGCAAAGAGCGTTGTCTTCCGTACTTATGTATAACTAGTTGCTAACGTTTTTTGTTCAAACTATAACTTATAACTGCGCATTATGACACGTTTTTATTGATATCGCGCGTCCTACTGCCATATTAAAAGGTTTACAATATTTGTTTCGTTATTTTGTAACCTGTAATTAATAAAATAAGGTTTTTTTTTTCTTTAGCAACCGATTCTCCAATACGGTGTTGTCGACTATTAAAATAAAGTTCTTATATGTTATGTTAAAGTTGTAAAAGTCTAATTCAAACCATTTATTTTAATTAGACCAGGAAGGCACTTATGTACGTCAAAACAAAATATTCTGTCGGTCAATCCTCTAGTGAAGCTATTTGCTCGTTCCAAAGTGGAGATTCCTATGGAGAAGAACGAGCAAGAAACTCCATAGGTTACTCTTTTTCATTCAGTTTCGGAATACAATATTCTTGATTACATTTTTTCGTTCGTTCGTGTGTTGGTTGGTTGTATACAGGTCTTTCAATTTAGATTAATTTTAGGTTTTAATGAGCAGAGTTTTTTATCAATATGTCTCTCTATTATTCATCTAAATTACATCGGCCTTCCCCAATGGCTTCCAGATTGACCAACTGTAAGTAAATTGCATTCACAGCAACTCCCATACTGGAGAACCTAGGTTCTATATCTAAACTACAAAAGAAGGCATGAAAATTGTCAAGCTTAGTCTCCCTTCGCCAAAGAAGAGGTATAATTCCATGTTATCTTAAATCTCTTGCAATATTTATCATGCATGTCCCATCTGACACTCGGTATCATATAAACAAAGGACTTTTCCTCAGTCGACTCACTTGGAAAACTTGTACATCATATAACTATCTTGATACTTATAATATACGGTCACATACATTCAACCACGGCTCCATCTGACAATAAACAGTAGGTAAGTAGGTAGGTAGGTACATTCCTTTTAATAAAAACATTGATTCTCTATCACATTATAGTCTAAACAGAATATTGTAGTGTTATGGTTTAAGATAGTGTCTATCTAGTGGACTTCAATGTTCCGGTGTTTTCATGGTTGTATCTACTGTAGATCCTGGCTTACAGGAGTTGCAGCGGTTTTTGGAGGCAGTGGCGGGCTTGTCCCATTAAAAAAAAAAGTATTAAAGTGTAGAAGTACCGGATAGACGGCTAGATAGGGGCTAACGTTTTTTTGCGCCTAATATGTGAGAAGCTGTTTTTGTTCAATCACAGCAGCTGTCAAATATTTAATTTCCAATGGTGTAATACTAGCTAATTCCCTATTCGATGAAGAACGAGAGGTTAATTCATGCCATTTGGTGAGCAAAAATACAATAGGTCCCATTGCTGTCGAATTTGATTAAGTAAACTCATACAAATAAAAAAGTGTAAATGAGAACTATCTTTTTGTTCTAGCCTCGTATACGGATATTCTCATTTTCTGAATAGTATTGAACCATTTTATAATCATTTTCCTCGTATAGAGGACCCATAACAATTAGGACCTTGAAGCAGACCTTAGTAAATTCACTTAAACTTAGCTACGATTATCAAACAATTAGCTTCGAGGTTAATAAAGGGATATCTAATCTATGCGTAGGAACTTGTGTTCGGCCGGAACGACTCGGTGAATCTATTCTAGTTAAAGGTTATCCGACTTCCTGGCCTAGAATTTGTGGTACGTGTGACGTTTTGTGCTGAATTCTAATCATGTCTTTGTACGTACACACTTGTTTTCTATATAAAATCTATGTGTAATAGTGTCAAAGAAGTACAGGGCAATGACGTCAGCCCAGTTCTTTTTTTTTCAGGAAAAGGATTGGTCTTGTAACGCTTCTAGTGTTTTTGTCCAATTAAAGCCGATGTGTATCCATGTCCGATTAAAGTATTGTTTGATTTTTTAACAGCTAAATCGTAAGTAATAAAGTAATGTTTATCGTCTTTTATCTTTGTAATTGTTTAATTCTAATTTCCTTTATGTACAAACTAGCTTTTGCCAGCGGCTTCGCCCGCGTTCTCATGAAATAAAAAGTAGCCTATGTGTTATTCCAGACCACAATCTATCCCTAGTCCAAAATTCATCCAAATCCTTTCAGCCGTTTTGTCGTGATTGAGTAACAAACATACACACAGACACACAAAAACATAAAGTCACAAACATTCGCATTTGTAATATTACTAGCGACCCGCCCCGGCTTCGCACGGGTGCAATATACATGTATTATACATATAAACATTCCTTAAGAATCACTCTATCTATTAAACAAAACCGCATCAAATTCCGTTGCGTAGTTTTAAAGATCTAAGCATACATAGGGACAGACAGACGGCGGATTGCGACTTTGTTTTATACTATGTAGTGATTATAGTATGATTAACTATACTACGAGTGCCCTTTCTTTAAAAGAAAGAACATGATTTGGTATATACTTAGGTAAATAGTATTGAATATGAACATTCGTACTTTTCTTCTATATGCAATAATAAAACACATATCTGAAACTGATGTTACTATTATACTTGTAAAAAACCATGACGTCATCTGATTTTGGCACAATATTTGATCTTAATATTGAGTATGTGGCCTGCGCTGTGTCCATATTGGATCTCTGATGAACTCATATCCATTATGCATCCTTTCCTTTCTATATTTGTAAATGGGATGCAACGACTCTTTAAAAGTTATTTTGACATCACCAGTATATTTAGTTTTGCTCTTTATTTCTTTATTGTTTAATAAATTAGGGCTTACCAGATGATCTGAAATAAAGAGACAATTCAAAGAACAATCATGGGTATTGTTCCATCAGTTCATATTCAAAATCAAATTACTGTTAGAAGAACGAAAGTATTTCTTTCATAACTCGACTTTAACTGCACCAAGATT